TCTCACCTTGCAGGGGGGAAGGGCCCAGGCCATCAGTTGCCAGGAAACAGGGTGTTGGCCATTCTCTGTGTCCAGACTCCTGCACACACCTGCCCTCTAGGGCTCTGCAATGATCATACACCCTTACTCCACCCCCTAGATACTTAAGAACTGCCTAGGGGAAACTGAGGCACCCCCACACTATTCAGAGGAAACATTAAGAACAGTCCCACTTCGTCACATCTCTCCCCCCTTCGAGATCGAACTGAGCGGGGTCACTTTAGCCGGTGACCTGGGGAAGTTCGAAGCCACCAACGTTCCCATGGATGCCCCAGCATCTCTCCCATTCCTTGGTAGGAGTTACACCAGGCCCTTCCAGTTTCACGCCCTCCCTTAGGTCAGGGGTGGTCAATAGCACTCGCAGGCCGCATGTGGGAAGGTTTATGCAGCCCATGCCCTTTGGCCACCCCAAGAATGTCTCCCCATTGACCATCACCTTCTGCTCCCACTGGAGGTCCGGGGGGCCTGGCCCCAGGAAACTCCACACAGACATATAGGTTGGGGTCAGGAGTGGGAGCCTGTCCACATCCCCACCCATCTGGCTGACGGAGTCTATGGCCTTGGGACCCAGCAAGGGAGCTAGACACCGGGGCTTTTCCGCAGGGTCCCCTTGGTTCAAATCGCCAGCCTGCTCAAAGGCAGTGAGGTGGGCATCCACACCCCCCCCCTCCTTAACGAGGGGCAGCAATTTAGTCTCGAGGTTCCCTGCGGAACTGGCACCCCGGGGTCTATCCCCACTCACCCCGGGGAGGTCCCCTAGGCCTCTCCGCTCCCCCACCGCCAGTTCATCCTGCTGCTGCTTCTGCAGCTCTTTCTCGGGCTCTCGCTGTCTCTCACAGTCCTCTTGCTCTCTCAGACTCAGCTCCAATCCCGTCCGTCTCGATCCCCCGATGGGGAACCCGATCGTGAAGACCCTCGTCTGGTCGGGGACAGGAGTCTTGGCGATGCCTGGCTCCCGCTTCAGCTGCTCCCAGATCCTGCTATAGCCCCAGTTGGGGTCAGGAATCTGTTCCTTAGAGCGGTCATCCTCCTCCAGCTGCACAATTAACTCTGCTTTGGTGAACTTTCCAACGCTCAACCCTCTCTTTCTGCACAGGATTACAATGTCCTTCTTAAGGAGACGGTGACAGGCCATCACTCCGCTCCTCCCAAGTTGTTGTGGACTCACAGGCCTGTGTGTTCTCAGCTCCCCACGGTTTCCAGGGAGAACCCCTAGTGTGCCAGCCCTTCTCGAGGTCACCACCTCTTTGCCAGGGTCGAGCTGCAGACTCCTCCGCCCCTTGGACTGCTCGCTGCAATCCCCAGGGGAACCCTGTTACTGCACAGTCCTTCTCGCTGGTCACACACTCCCAGGGGTTAACCGCCCCCCGAAACCACTCCTCTCTGAGCCTTCAGCAGGCCTGGTCCTTGGCAATCCCCCTTCGTGTTACTGCTCCCCAGTCACTTACTGCAGGAAGCACCATCCACGGGGTGCAGTACATCCCACCGCTGCCACCAGTTGTCACGGAGTCCCTGGGCGATGCTCTGGAACTGCTCCCCATGAAGCCAGTCAGGACTCTGGGGCAGTCGCCTTTCTGTGAGCAGCCTGTCTTCAGGACACGCAGCTCACACAGCTTCCACCTTCCTGGGTCTGACCTCGGAGCATTCAGCATCCTCTGCCCCTCCGTGCGCTTCCCACAGCGAGTCCGCTCAGGCGGGGCTCCTGGGGAAGCCAGAGGGTCCTGCACCCCAACTTCGCAGTCAGACGTGACTCTCAGCCAGCCAGTAAAACAGAAGGTTTATTAGACGACAGGAACATGGTCTAAAACAGAGCTTGCAGGTGCAGAGAACGGGACCCCTCAGCTGGGTCCATTTTGGGGGGCAGTGAGCCAGACAACCACGTCTGCACTTCACTCCATGTCCCAGCCAGCCCCAAACTGAAAACCCCCTCCAGCCCCTCCTCCTCTGGGCTTTGTTCCTTTCCCCGGGCCAGGTGGTCACCTGATTCCTTTGTTCTCCAACCCTTCAGCTCTCACCTTGCAGGGGGGGAAGGGCCCAGGCCATCAGTTGCCAGGAAACAGGGTGTTGGCCATTCTCTGTGTCCAGACTCCTGCACACACCTGCCCTCTAGGGCTCTGCAATGATCATACACCCTTACTCCACCCCCTAGATACTTAAGAACTGCCTAGGGGAAACTGAGGCACCCCCACACTATTCAGAGGAAACATTAAGAACAGTCCCACTTCGTCACAAGGAGGAAGCAAAAAAATCCTGGTGAACACCCACTGTGGTGACAGGAAGCTCACTGGAGATTTTGTTGAAATCAGAAACAGATCAGGGCTGTGATATTTCATGTCAATTGTTCCCACGTTAACCTTTCACCTCAGGGACTCCGTTCTCCAGTTTGGCCAGAAGATGATGAGCTGAAAATGAAATTACTCTGACAGCTGTAAAAGGTCAACTGTAGAAACCACAGATTTGTTTTAGCTCAGTATCTTACCTACAGCATCTACTATTCATTGCCACTTTAGTGCAGCCATAACGAAAACAGAAGTCAGATTCTTTCCTGCAGCCGCATGTTGGCAATACCTACTAGGAGCCAGATTCTGAGGGCAATAGCCACATCGCTTGTAAAATGAGACGTTTCCTTTGTGTGTATAAGAGCAGCAGATGTCTGGAATGCATGTTGTGCAAAATCATCTGAGATTTAAAGGAGGGAAGGGAAGTTGAAGATAAACTCCCCAGTACTGCTAACAAGCATCTTTGGAACCTCAAAAGTGATAACTTATTAATGGTATAATGACGTTTGACTGGTAATATGATTCACTGTTTAACTTCCGGGAGAACCTTGCCTCCTCTTGCTCACCACCTCACTGCAGGGTACTATTACTGCTACAGATTTTTGCTGGGCCTTTCCCATGCTTGATGAGTGGGGGTCAGGAAGTGTGACACTGTTTGCGACATCAATCTCTCTGATCTGATCAACATTGATAAACCTGCCAGGGAGAATCCGTCCTCAAGGGTGTAGCTCAGAGAAGATCTGTTGTGCAGAGGTTTGTTCTCTACGTTGTCCAAGGTCACAAATATCCAACTCAGCCTGCTACATTCAGTTGTTATATAAAAGTTGACAGAAGTGAAAGACTGGATTAGGTCAAACAAAAAGATCTGCTAATACCACCCAAGGACTGTGTTAAGGTCATGACTAATAAACAAAAGAAGAATGGAATCAGAAATTAACTAATCTAATTGGTAGACCAAATACAGAGGAGATGGCCTGTGCCACTCACCACCTCCTTTAGGGGATCCTTTAAAAAAAAAGTCTTTAGGGAAAATCAAAATGGTGGAAATTGGTAGACTGGAAGGAGAGAACTTTATCATTATGGCTGCTACTCCCACCATCTCTTGGGATGCCAAGATCCAGTACCACACTGTTAGGCCTTCATTGTCCTGAACCTGAAAGGTGTCCTGACCAATCCAGGCCAGAGAGAGGGAACCAATAACATCATCACTTCTACCACTTTGGTTAAGTTCTGAATAGCACCTGAAATGGGAGACTTGGGTTCCTGCTGTCACCCCTCCCTCATGTGTCCTTGACCTTTCTCCACTTTATTTCTTCTCTTTTCTATCTTTCTCAAATTGCCTTCTGTCTAGTAAGGGTCTGGCTTAGCCAGACAAGATGGCATTTTTTACAACTCTGCTATAAGCTCATGAGCAGATAGGCAGCTAAAAGCAATGCCCTATACCTCCCAATGCTCATACTGGTTTGCCAGGTCTTGGGGTTGACTGATAAGATCGTGTGCTGTCCTGAGTTGCTACAGGAGTAGGGACCAGAGACAGAAACTGCATTTTCTACATTGGTGGTTCTTTGCCGTCATGTTGTGTGTCCATTTGCCTTGTTTGATCTTCAAGAGAATGGGACTGGTCTTTATCATCAGCTCCAGACCAGCTGAACTAACTTCTCTTTCCCCCAGAAAAGAACAGTTATCCAATTCTAAAAGACTGTCAAATGGGGCAGGCTGGGGCGTTCCCTATAAAAACTTTCTACTGCTGAAGGAAAAGGGAATGAGCAATATTGTAAAATGAAAGCCTTACTTAATACTTGACATTTGAAATGCTTTGACTGATTTTCTCTCTTTTACTGCACCTTCAACACAAGGTTATAAAATGTTTAATGGGGACGGTTGTCATGAGACTAAGCAGGTTGAGGTCTCTGTACTCAGAACCTTGAACTATGTTTAACTCTTTAGTGTTGTACAGTGATAGGATCACGTTAACACTGTTGATTGCCTGGGCCCAGCTATTCCATCAAAATTAACACAACAGATCTGTCAGCAAGGGGCCATGTCATGTACTGGAAAGTTGTCTCCTCAGCTTCTGGGTGGATCTTCTTTCCACACAGCAGGAAAACTAAATTATCTAATATACCCCAAAAGCATGTAAAAAAAGAAAAGCACAAGAGAAGTCTCACACCTCACCCAAAGCATGCATCTAGCTCCAGTCAATTCCTAGCATCTCTGATTTTTTTAACCCCCCCCCCCCCCACACACACACACTTTACAGCCATGTGACGTGGTGTACTAAAATATTTCATCAGCAAGCGTGGGGAAAGGGCACTGACCTCACAAATGGTAAAGCCATCAGTAAGATATGCTTGTCAATCCAAATGTGGAGTCCTTTGAACAGACCCATGCAGATGTCTCCCTCCCTCCACAGAAACACCCTTGTGTCTTAGTAAAGCCATGATCTACACTCCAAAGTCATTATATGGCTTTCTGCTATAATGCTGACATAAGCCATAGAATTACTGTTTCCAGCTGCAGTACGTTAAAGCATACACCAATCACTTTCATTACTAGAGGTTTTTTCGCAGCACACTGCTGGCCTGTGCTAGGGTCCCACTACCCTGTGTCCTGGCTGAATGATGTTATGTGGCAGAGAATATTTAGAACATCTGATGTAACAAATAACCAATGGCACACATGTTCTTTCCAGGCATGGTTTATTGAAAACACACCAAACTGTTATCCTACATACCTGGTTTCTAACAAGCATTCTACTTATCGGTGTTATGGAAAATTCCTATAATAATACATTCTGTTATGGTAACATTTGTTCTATGAAAGCATAATTATCTTTTATTGCCCTCCCCCATCTTACTCTTAAAATAAAACCATTCTAAGTGTTCCAGTTTATAGTACAGTGTAAATACAATGCAAAAACCCACCAGTCTAAACTACAGCGATAATGTTGAGTAGTATTACAGAAAACACATTGGTGATTTTTTTTTCTTTATTTTCCTACCATGAAAATTTTAAGGCACATGATAGTTACAAACACATTAGCTACTAATTACCAGTAATCTTAGTCTAGTTATGTTTTTGTTTTGCTGAACAATTATATCCTCAACTGGATTGGCAGGTTTTGCAGCATATGCTCTTTCCCCCTCATGACTCATCCTGCCATCGTGTTTCTGAACATTCTACCCCAATGTAAATTTAAGACAGGGGAAAAAAAATAGTTTATAATACTGTCCCTTAATGCACTAGACTAGTTACTGTACTGATAATCAGAGGAAAACCTTTCTGTGAAAGGTAAGGAAACATCAGTTTTTTAGGAGCAGAACAGTGAAGAGACTTTGCTAGAAACTATACCTCTATAAACACCTTTGAAAGTATGGGGGGGAGGGGGGAGGGGAGAGAGAGACAGAGACCCCCAACCCCAACAGCACAAAAGCATGGGCTGAAGCTAGTAGCACATTACGGTTTTCAAAGAAAGAGTGAGGCCATGAGGAGTGTCACAGCAGGAAGCAATAAAATCAACCTCATTAATATGGCCCTTGGCCCCAGAAGCTTTGCCTCCGCTATCTAGGAACTTATAATGCCCCCATCCCTGTTGGTAATCAAGCCTAAACCGCACAGTAAGCTGCAGGTAAGTAACGAAAGTGGGAGACCCTCTATCCTAATGCTCTGGGAGTTGAACCCAGGTGAAAAAGTGCTTTGCATATCACAAGCCTTGTGTGTAGCAGGCCATGTGTCACGAATTCTCATCAGTATTGGTAAGAGCTTACTGGAGTGGTGGAACCATACTTGCAAACCACTGCTTCCTCTGTGTGTCTCCCTATCCTGGGCCAGTTCCTGGTCCCCAAAACCAGTCCTTTTCATGATGTTTTAGAGACAGTGCTGCTCTGAGAGATGTAGGAGGAATCCCTGGGTGGTAAAGAAGGGTGGTGCTTGCTCTGCACTATTCACTCTACCCTATGTAGGGGGCATTCCTGAGACCATAGCGAGGGGTGGCCAGAGCACACCAAACTCCAGGAATCTACAGCTGGCAAACTGATCTGTGGGCCACCAGTCCAGCCACTAGTCTTTGGGCCTCCCCAAGTTATGCAGAGGGGTGAACTGGTACTTGGCCAGCTCCAGAATCAGGAGAGCAGAAAGGTGGCTTAGCTTGGAGCCCCATATGTCCGCACCCCTCCTAGGATCCCGCACTGAGCACAGCCTGGCCCACCATGGGTAGCTGTAGGAACCTATTGACTCGGTACAGCTATTACTCCAACACACAGCAGCCAAACCTACAGCCACAGGGGGCTCCTGAGTCATGGGAGCCCCACCAAAATTAGCACTTGTTTTCTTCAGTGGTCACAGCGTAGTGCCATGGGCTGTGCTAGGGCTGCTTCCTGGGGACGGAGCTCCGTGGGATAACTTGAGTCCCTGAGGGAATCAAACTATCCCCCACTTTATCACAGCCCTCTAGCTGAGGCAACAGAGGTTCGCGCCTCCTCCTGATCAACAGAAAGCCTGCACCCACTGTCCTGCTAGCTTCCTCCACAAGGACACACTAGAAACTCTGGGGTGTTTTTTCTAGCTCTTGCTCCTCTGTGGGCCTGATCTCCGGCTGTCATGGTGCAGGCGTCTGGAGCAAATGGCAGGGAGGCGGTTGCATGCCTAATCCTGAGACCTGATGCTGCTTGACTTCAGACTGATTTTGTCACACACACTATTGCTTTCCCGCCTCTGCATTCGAACGCTCCTAAAATGCCTAGTGCGTCCTTCCTTCACATTCCCTATCTTTTCAAATGAAGCCCAAACATAGATGGGAAGCAACAGGTGGGTTGTGGGGGGAGGGATTGGAAGGGCTGGGTAAGGGGAGACATCCTGAAAAGTCCCAGTAGGTTATCAGCTAGCTATAGCTACCATACATCGGCCCTGCACCAATACATTTCTGTAAAAGAGCGCCTCCCACAGGTGAGCCCACCCCCTGCAGCATGCTTCCACTGCAACTTGATTAAATGTGATGCTAGGACTGATCAGCAGCATCATTTTAAAGTAAACAGTTTCCTGATTTGGTCTATGGCTGATGCTGCTGACACTGGAGGCCATTCTCATGTCTTAAATCAGCCCTGGGATCCCTCTCTCTGCTCATTGTCCAGGGAAAGGCTTGCAGGAGAGGAGCAGAAGAAAAGCAGTGAAATGTACAGGATTAAATTCTTGTTATTGCTACATACTCTGAGTAAATCTTCATTGTGGTGAGTGTGGTCAGAGCCACACTGCTCCTGTTAATAGTCCTGATATTTTGCCTCTTGGTATAAACACCGCATACTACTAACTTGGGGGAGGTGAGGTGTCTTACTCAGGAGCAAGCAGCCTTGCAAACAAAGCAGTCACAAAAAGACAAACCTGGAAACAAGGGAAAAGAATAATCACCCACAATGATTCCAAGCATCCAGCTCCATTCCGTCTAATCGGGTGGGATGGTTTCTGCTTAGAATATAAAACACAATCTGCTTCTCGAACACCCCTGTGTTTTTTGTTTGGCCAATTATAAAGAGGCCATTTGCCCAATCTGGATTCTGATCCAGATTTTTAACATCCCTATAGCATGGGTGTTTAGATCTAGGTTTTTGTTGGAGGGGCCTCTCTCTGCATAGGAGATCATTTAAGTTTATTGCCAGTCTCCTCTCCCCAGGGTATTTCCTACAGCCTTCCCCTTTTGCCATTGTCCCTCCTTACCTCTCCCTGGCTTTGGAATATTTGTAGAATGACTACATCGCAAAGACTTAGCAGAAAAGCCTTGCAACATTTGGCTAGTTATCTGCAGTAATCTTTTGCTGAGACTCCTTTGGTAAATACAATACTCTGATACCCGAGTCTCCTGGGACCTTTCCTTATGCACTTCTAATAGGCCACAAAGAAGGTTCCATTGCTAATTGCTGCAGAAATTTTTTTTTTTAAAAAATCCTTTCATATACAAAAACACACAAGGTACAGAACCCAAAGCAGTATAAAACTCTTCTGTGTAACAGCCTGGTTAAAAGGGTCTCCACTTATCGGTAGAACAAGTATGAAAAGAGCACCGTTGTTAGAATATACAGTAAAACTATGTATCTGGTTTCACTCTCTATGCTTTACATCTACAAGAAGAAAAAACTCCCCGCCCATCAGAATCCAAATGGTCACAGATGGATCTGTCTTTGCCTCCCTTGCCCAGCTGAGCATCTTTGACCTCACAGGACTCTCTCACCAGGGTAAACATAACCAATCTCCCAGCAACTTCACCTTTCTTAGGACCCAGACGTAACCTCTCTGTGCGTGAGCGGGATGGGAAGGGGGATCAAGTTAGTGCCTGTAGCTCGAGCATCAGTCTTTCCCTGAATCAACAGTCCTCCTGCATACTACTTGCACGGTTTTGGCAACCTATCCTCTGCACAACTATATATATTTATTTATAGATATGTATTTGTCAAATTTTATTATACTCAAGAAGATACAAAGCTCTTGAGGCTTGCTTTTTTTTTAGTTTTTTAATTTTGTACAAAAAATTAGACGTTTACTATTACAGTAATATTTTGTTTTTTGTTGTGGGTTTTTTCTTCTTCATTTTTAATTTACAAAGGAAATGGCAGGCACTGAAAACCTAAAATTAAGTTTGCTTGATTCAAAGATGTGCTTTCCAGTCACACTGTATTTAAGAACTTGTAGGTGTAAACATGGCAACCAAATGACAATGGTAACTAAGCAAAATAAGTAAAAGGCATCCATCCAATGCTAGGAGAGAGATTTGATTCTTGTTTCATCCTTCTCCCTCATTGGATCAAAAACCCAAAGGAAATCAATGATTTGCATTTAATACATAGCATCACCAGATAGCATGTGTGTAAAATGTGACTGTGGGGGGCAAAAATTCAACCTTGTGCAGAGAGTCTGCCTGTGGCCTACCAGGTGGCTTTGAGTAGACCCTCAGCAAGAGGCTGAATTTTACCCTTACTTAAGTGTGCAACCTAAAAACAAAAAGCAACACAACAAAACCAGGATGATGATTTCTTTAAGAAATATATCAGTTACTTTTCATCAGGCTCGACAGCCGAAAACACGCATGGATCCAATAGCAACCAAGTCTATCATTAAAAATATAAGGGGCATCAGATTACAGTGTGTTCTAATCGGAACTCCCTAATGAGGAAGTTTCCATTCTTCCCCGATGTGTTAACAGCTATGGGAAATAAAATTATGTTAAAGATTAAATAACCATCAACCCAACATCAACACTTGGGGGGGGAAAAAGCAACTCCTTTACTGCAATCATCATGAGCAACAAAAATAAAAAGGCAGCCAACTCCATTTCTCAGCACAGATTTCTGAATTGGGACAGTGAAACCTTCAACAAACTGTTTACATATGTGGAAGTAAAAATAAAACCATTACAGAAGTCAAAAGGCAGAAGTATTTTACACCAGATTATAATGATAATATAACACAGTGTGATATCGCTTCCTCTAATAGCAGATTATACAGCTTGCATCAACTTCGTTGTCTACATTCCAGTTCATTCAATCAGCCGAAATAGTTTTTTTCTCCTTTCTTTAAAATCCAACAAACCCACTCAACGTTCCTGCATTTCTTGTGAAAAAAAATAATAAAAGCTCAAAACCAAGAAAACCAAACTCCCTAATATAAAAATCTTTTAAAAATTAAATTCACAGTTCAAAACAAAACCCAAAAAACAAAAACAAATGAAAAGTGCTAGTTTCCTCATGACTATACCTAAGGATATATTTCAAATATTCTGCAGTTCCTCTTTCACTTGCAAAGCTGTCCTCTTTCCCACCACGTGACCGTCTCTTCTCATCCTTGGCACCATCCTCATTTAAGAGTCACTAGTTAGATGTAAGCTTGGATTCTTTCTTCTTTTGGGGGAGGGGGACAAAGGGAGGTGGCTGTGTCTGGTGGGAATGTAATTGAGTTTTAAAAAGCAAATTGTCTTGCTGTAAGGCATGGTGCTCCGGGGTTGGCTGATGGCAGTTGTCTGTTTTCTCCCCACACCCTCCTAGAATCTGCAGACTGTTCACTGATGCAGCGCCCTCCGAATTTGAATGGCAGTGGTGATTAATGAGATCCTCTGTGTTGGTTCAAATTTGTTTTTTCCCCTCAGTATAAAAAAAAAAAAAAAAAAAAAAAGCAGTTGGACTCTAGCCCTGGAAAATAAAGCCACAGCTGATTAATATATGAAATAATGCACCTTTGATTATCTCCAGCACATACAGTGTGAGCTCAGGTAGCAGGACAACTGCAAGCGTCCACCTGAGGGTGACCAGATGTCCCGATTTTATAGGGACAGTCCCGATATTTGGAGCTTTTTCTTACAATAGGCACCTATCACCCCCCCCACCCCCTGTCCTGATTTTTCACACTTGCCATCTGGTCACCCTAGTCCACCCCCCCTCGCCCACCCCCAATATCATAGTTCCTTTAAGGGCAGAAATTAGAAAAAAAAACAACCCAAAAACAACAACAAAACCAAAAAGCCACCCTAAGTTTAAAAAGGTACCCTCACCCACCCTCGATGCTTTCTCCACTCTCAAGGATCACTGCACAAATGTGGGACTACTGCGTCCTGTCAAAGCTTTAAATCTCAATCTTCTGGAGCAGGGACCACTACTTCTTACTGCACCTAGCACCATGGGGCTCTGATCTTGGTTGGAGTACTATCATAATACAAATAATAAATAATCTATGGCAACAGCAGACCCCCCAGGGTTTCACATGTGTAGTAGCTGGATGGGTTGAATTTTCAGGGCAGTGCCCAGGGGAATCAGATGCGAGAACCCCATGAATTGTGTCTGACCTTGCTCCCCTTACTCTCGAGAGATTTCCCCTTGCTTTCAATGAGAATTTCTCTTAAGTAAGGATTTCACGGTCCCCTGATTCCTAATGCACCTGAAAGCACTGTCCTAAGGGGGCACCAGGAAGTCCAGTGGCTTTTGTGCTCTGGCTTTTCACTTTTAGAGAGCAGGACTCAAAATCTTCAAGCAAGCAAGCAGAAATCTGCTGGTTATATCCCAGTCCCCTATGGGTCTGCATCATTAAATCACCACACAGTTTGGCCCAGTCAGTGTTCTCTCATCCAGCACGACTCAGGACTGGAACAGTACGAGCGCTGCAGTGGCAAAGTGTCTGCTGGTGCTACTACTGCTCACCTTCACATGAATTTAATGCCCCAACACACGTTTAAAGAGCTTTTCCTTCCCCATCATTTTAAGGTCTTAGAAAAGTAACAAAGTGAATCTAAATTTGAGACCTTGGACGGTTTCAGGTTTAAACTTACTTGCCAAGAGTTGCCAGGAGAATGCAAAGAGCAGAGAAGTGCAGCATCACTGGGGCTGCTTATGTTGCAAAGTTACTCTGCCAGCTTCAGGTGTGATTTTTAAAAACATTCTCCCAGAGGTTTCCAAAGCCCTGCGAATTCACATCCTACACCCTCGCCCCGCCCCGGGTCTCCAATGCTTTACTTCGTCTGTTACCATCAGGAATTTGTGTGAAGACAGCGCATGTCTTCTAGGTTTTCTCAGGAGATGGAGGAATTGCTCTTTGAACCAGCACCCAAAGGGCGTCAGCAAAGCAGCCAATCAGAAATTTTAATTATTTAAAGAAATGCTTCTTCTGGAAGTCAACAAAAAGCCAGTGAAAGGTGCCAGACTGACAGCCCCAAGGACTGAAGCCCACAGACCCATTTGTCTCCAACACAGGCACAGGATAGACAGTGGCAGCAATTTAAGACCAGAAGGGGGATGGTTAGTAGCCAAAGACTGAGTATGTACTGGGAAAACTAGGGAGACAACGTGGGTGAGGGAATATCTTTTATTGCACCAACTTCTGTTGGTGAGAGAGACAAGCTGTTGAGCTACATGGAGCTCTTCTTCAGGTCTGGGAGAATTGTCCACCTAGCTGAGAAAGGCCTTATACAGGTCTGTTATAGGCTGCAGTGGCCAGAGGGTTCCAGCCCTTCCCATCAAGGAAACAAGAATGAGTCATGAATTCTGATCTCTCCTATTGTACTGCACTCGCCTCATGACTTGAGTTTCCTTCTCACTGATTAATGTGATTTCCATGTAGAGAAAAGGACCGATTTTCTGCAGTGCTGAGCAATGGAAGTAGTGGGTGCTCACCATCTCTGGAAATCGGGCCTTCAGGGACTATCAGACACTGGGTAAGGAGAACTTGTGTAGTGCAATCCTCATGGTTACTAAAGATATTCTTTTAGTCCACAGACAGCCACACAGTCTGTACTATACACAATGCGGCGTCTGACGGGCTGCCAGGAGGTGTAACATGGATAACAGACTGGGCAGCAGGAGGCAGATTAGTGGCAGCAGGAGTGGTAAAAGCTGGCACAGTTTTAAGGAGCTTGGCACATAGGGAAGGTAGAGAACAAGAAGGGGTCCAAAAAAGCCTTGAACTGCGGAGAAGAAGGAGCAGGAGGTGGGACTTGTGGCTCCATGTTTAAATGACTGACGTTCTCCCCCCTTGAAATTTAATTGTGTGCGTGGTCACCAGCTTTCCCTCGGAGGACAGGACCATAGAAATCTTGGGAGCCTCAGGGGAGATCCATGAATAGCCAGGATGTACTTTTCCTGAGGACTCAGGCTAAACCTGGTAATGAGTACGGGGTGGGGGGGGGAGGTGGAATGGCTGTAAACATTTGAGGTCAGTCAGGAAAACTATATTCAATTTAATTCCCATGTCCTAATAGCAGAGATCCTTTACATTTCCTCTGACAGCCCATCGGTCAGAATATTAATTCACTGTCTGGTTATTTGACAGGTTATTTTTTAATCAAACAGCAGTGGTTTATTGTGTTTAATTAAAGATACAGTGTGCAATATAAACCTCCCTTTTCCAATGCATTTTCATTTGCCTAAAAGGAACCAGTTAGCTGTTAGCCTCGGAGAGATTCTGCAGTGATACAGAACATGCACAATGAGACACGGTAATCACTAGCACCAATTACCATTAAAAGGACCTACCATGCATGCAAATTAGACCCAGGAGTCAACAGGCTGGGGTTTAATGTCACGGGCATCCACCAGATTCACCGAAGCCCTGTTACTCCTGTTAATGTTTTTCCTATTTGTGTCATTCTGCAGCAAACAGGGTGAGGAGTTAAAGGCAAAACAGAGCGGATTAATCAAACACAAACAAATCAGTCAGCTCAAAGGATTGCAAGGGGGGAATTAGTGGAGAGAGAGAAAGAAACAAAATTGGCAAAGGCATGAGCTATTCCACAGGCACTGACAAGCATTCGTGGCAGCACTTCACTTCATTGCAATTATTATTCACAAATCCTAGCCACTCATACAGCCTCTGAGCCACAGTTACTGGATTCAGAGTAGCAGCCGTGTTAGTCTGTATCTGCAAAAAGAAAAGGAGGTCTTGTGGCACCTTAGAGACTAACAAATTTATTTGAGCATAAGCTTTTGTGAGCTACAGCTCACTTCAGAATGCATCTCATGAAGTGAGCTGTAGCTCACGAAAGCTTATGCTCTAATAAATTTGTTAGTCTCTAAGGTGCCACAAGTACTCCTGTTCTTTTTGCGGTTACTGGATTGTTCACCAGCTAGAAATCAGCACACACGTTTCTCTTGGATGGGGTAGTGCAAGGGGGATCTAGACTTTGCCCAACTAAGGACTGCTTCAACAACATGACAGGAACCTGCGGGCAGCACCTCAGTGGCATAAATCAGACAGCGTTTGGGCTGTCCTCCATCTTTAACAGGGAGGAAGCACAGACTGGGGAAGAGACAGGTCCCAATGCTCCATCTTGATGCAAGTAACTCCTGCTCCGATCAAGCCAAAGCATTGCACAATGGACCACCAAGCACCTCAACTTTAGGAAAAATGAAGGTGGCCTTGGGATGCATTGCACAGCTCCGTGGGCTGTATTTGGCTACCTGTGTGTGTCACACAGTAAAAGTAAAGAGCACTTGCTCATCCTCTCTCCTCCCAACCTATCCCCCTCTCCTCTGGAAGAAGCATTTTCTGTCATTTCTGCAGAGCCACATCCTAATCTTTGCAGCCATCTCCCCTAGTTCACCCTCCTCCTCAGCATCCTGTAGTGTACACTAAGACTGTGGACGGGTGGATTGGAAAGCTTATACCATTAACCTCTGGTTCAGGCTGGGCCATCTGTTTCCATATCAGAATAACATCTGTGTCAATCAAATGGTATTTCCAAAGTGGGTAACTAGGATTTAGACACCGATTCCCATCAGTGGCAATCTCAGAGCCTTGTGGCTCAATCTTTGTGTAGCACTTTGGAAATTTACCCTGAAACATAACCATGAATAATACGAAGTGAATTGCTCTTAAGCACTTAAGATAGAAATTTCCCAGTTTGATCAGGGCTACTACACAGTAAAACAGGAAAGGACAGAGATGACAAACTAATGAAGGAAGCACCGATCCCTTCCAAAGGCAAAGGTGAGAAGAACCAAAGATTTTTGTTTCCTTTCCATCTTTACTAGTGACTGTAAAGCATAGATGCAATTAGCATTCTACATGTTCACACCAAAAGGTGATTGCTATCAAATCCCATTATATATAGCACAATGGGTGCAGGCTTAGGAAATGGATTGTACATGTACTAAATAGGGCAGCTAGTTTTAAACAACAGTGGCTGTTCCCTTGCAGTACAGCTTTAAGGGTCGCTGAGGTCGCCTAATCTATGCACAGCCATAATCTTCAACAACTTACAGTACTGGATAATGGAAGGTCATATTAAAGTAAGATCAGAGGCTGGGCTAACCCAAGGGGTAAAGAGGTCAGTGTTTCAGTCACACTGCAGCCACATGACATGAGACTTCTACTCATTCAGGCCAGCTAATAACAGTAAGCTTGCAGGGTTTGGCACTGGAAGGATATCACAAGACAATGGCTTATATTAATAAGGTTGCTAGATGAGAAGCTTCTGACAAGGCAAAAGGTTTTAAATAGCCTTTGAACGAAAGAGGAAAAAACTATTTGTGTCTGAACAATTGAAATGTGGACTGCGGCTGGCCTCTACCTTTAATAGAGAGGAGGGGTAGCTATGCTCAATCCGGATAGTGAGTGTTTGTGTCCACATGTTAATATAGACAGACCATCGCCAGGCAGGTGTACAACTGGCTCTTCTGTGGAAAGATTTTTCTCTATCTTATTTCTGCATGCCTTTGCTCAGTGTTTTGCACTAATTGAAAAGTCTTTCCTTTTCAACCGCTTGGCCATTTAACCTGAAGCATCTGGATCTTCTGGAGTTCCCACAAAACACTGAGGAGATTTCACCACAGATGCTCAGGGCTCCCTAGCACTGAGGTTCCCAACACCAGCACCAAGGCGGGGAGCAGTGATTTCTATCACAAACTCTTGTTTCATTGTCTGGTTTTTCCCACTGCTGACACACAAGAGTGTGTGCGTGGGTTTTTGCAAGGTAGGGAGGAGTCCCATGTGCCACTGCACTGCTGGAAGCATAAAGCAACTGCTTATAAAAACTTAGCTAAAATTGTGCATGAATGTAAGAAAAATTGCATAGAGTCAATTACTAGCATGCAGCCTGTATTGCTAAACTCAACAGCCCACAATGGAAGTGGAAGATTCAAGTCTGACTTTTCAGTGAGGAAACTGCGTGGAAGAAGCAAGTTGGAAATCCATTTTAAAGAAGGCTCTGTGTAAGAGAGTGAGAGAGACCAACCCATATACAGAGTCCATGTGTGGGAGAGTCTGAGCGAGGGCTGGGAGCTATATACACCACACAGCTTTACAAAGACACACAGGCTTTCAGCTACACTCCTTTATGGTTTCCATGGTGGGAAGTAACTGCTTGATGTGACTATTCTCAGAACAAAGTCTCCTGCAGAGCTATACACTTTAGGGCTGGGGAATGTACCTAGATGGAGGAGCTGAAAGTGATAAAGCAAACACATTCTTTTGTAAAACCGTTATTTACCTACAGGAACTTGAGCACATATCAGCTTATAAAACCATCTCCAGCAGTTGCTCCCTTATTAGAAAGCAGAATTTGCTTCCATTTAAGGCTAACTAGTGATCACTTACGAAATGGTGCCTTTATAGATAACCATTTACAAGCCCCTGCTGTGTATTTGCGACACACGTTCCTTGCTGCCTGACACTGGATGTCCCATTCTGTAATGGCATTAAGCAGCCTTTGGAATAGCTGGAAGCTTACTTTTAAAGGTTCTTTCTCCGATGCGTCCCCTATAGTGTCATTGGTCTTGTATTTGCGCTCTTTGTCCCGGTGATCGATGGTGGAGTACCCATCTGTGAAGGAATGACATGACAATCAGGCAGCAAAACCATGGTAGATTTGGCTGTTTTGCATTGTCAAAGAACTAGAGAGAGAGAAAGAGAGACAGACACAAAGCGTTAAACCAAAGACATAGGCATGTGCCTTCCTCGTGGGCTGATGCTCAGCAATTTTATTTTTTAACCACCTTTCTTTTTAAAAAGAACTCCTTTTATACCACCCCCTCCGTGTCAAATGCTGGTATCTCATTAACAAGCAGCAGAGTTTCCATTCTGGCCGGCTGCAGTGTAGTAGTAGTCTGTCCATGGAAAGCAGCAAGCTGTTACTTCACACCCTGTGGCTAATGAGCTCCAAATCCAGCTGAAATCTTGCGTTCTGCACTTAACAACCTGAATAATTGGCTGGGTTCCTTCTCGGAGTGGCATGCAACACATTCCCACTCCTTCTGAACTTGACTACAAGCAGGACACGACAATAGTTTGGAGACATCCCCTTTGGCATGATAAGAAAAGCAGCCTGTCGAGTTTTGTGAGATCTCGATGCAAACCCTGCTGTGCTGGACCTGCCTTTCATTTTGAAATGGCACCTGTGGGTGATTTTTCTCCCTGACAGTTGAAAAGCAATGTGAATACATGAGTAAACAGGAAAGAAGGGGGTGGAAGGGCTTTATGAAGAAATGCTGTAAGTATTTCAGAAACTACTTGGATTCATTGTCAGAGGTTACAAATACTACTTTATTCCTCTAGTGCATCAAGTTTCCCGCATTATCAGGGACAAACATATTCTCCTGCCTGCCCTGACAGCTTTCTAATCTGGGCTAAGTGACAGTCAAATTTGTGGTTCTTAATAAGCTTTGTATCTCTCCATGTAATTAAAGGATCATTACAGGTTCTACTTCCTGTCAAACTGTACTCTCCAAAAAGATTTTACATAAAATGTCAGAAGGCCTCATGTCTTGGTTTATTGCTTGCATTCAATAGGCCTTCTAAAATCAGTCAGTCACTCTAGATGTCGTTTTTGAGGGCTACCGGTGAAACTAAAAAGTAAGCAATTTTAAGCTGTAACACAAAAGCTTTGTAAATGGAGCGACTCCTGGTAAACAGTCTATGGGGCAGCAGTTCTCAAAATAGGCTACGCAAGCTGCAATCCAGTTAGTTTATAAAAAGATGTTTGTCTTTATACTTGGCTCAGTAAATCAACATATGCACAAGCCTTGCAGAATGCCCAGGCATTTGAGATGGTCCACATGTTTAATTAAGATCAATATCATATAAAAAGATAATCCATAACTATGCTGATTATAATGACTAAGGCCGTGTATCAAGTACATTTGAGATATGTGGTGCATAACTTAAACCTTGAGAACCACTGCTATACAGCTTTTCTTCTTTACTTTCAGTTCTCTGCTGACAGTTAAGATACCTAGCATCCCTGCTTGTGCCAGTTAGACCAAAAAATCCCAACCATCCACCTAGCCAACACTCCCGGGGAGTGTACAATAAGTCATTCAGTTTCAAATTACACACACAAACAAACACACACAGATCTAAAAACGTTACAACTCATAGTAAAAGTCATGGGTACATGCTATACATTTAAATGATAGCACAATGGCGTTCAAAAATCGCCTTTCCCAAACTCGATGGTCAACTCAGAAGCAGCCCTTTACATTTGAAAATGTATTTAATCATATTTACTTACAAGTAACAGATCACTGACATTGTGTAGCACCTTTCATCAAGAACGATCCCGAAGCACTTTATAAACAGGTAAACTACAAAGAGAACCGTTCACCCACCACTGAAATGCAACTGCCACGGAGATGATACATGTCTAGTGTTTAACATTTCACAACAGTTTAGGAGAGGAGGTAAAGAATATCACCATATACAAATGGGAAAAAAATGGATATTTTAGGTAGGCAAAAAACTAGCGTTTAATCAATACACCAGCCTTCAGAATCCTAATCAAAGTGATAAAAAATGGTCAGGGTCTTTGGGTTTACATCTGAGCTAAAAGGCATTTTGTAGCGTGTATTGTTGTTCAGCTGAATGCTGACCCCTTGTTAATGGTAGGTTTCAGAGTAGCAGCCGTGTTAGTCTGTATTCACAAAAAGAAAAGGAGTACTTGTGGCACCTTAGAGACTAACCAGAGACTAACAGAAGTGAGCTGTAGCTCACGAAAGCTTATGCTCAAATAAATTGGTTAGTCTCTAAGGTGCCACAAGTACTCCTTTTCTTTTTGCTTGTTAATGGTGTCACACACGTCAGTTCTAACGGATTGTTTGGAGCTAAAAACCACACGCTGAGTTGGGAATACATCAAGATAGCAACTGAGATTGGAAGTTTGTGGTTAGATTTATTAAAATGAGAACTATCCTGAAGGAGGCTATACCAGTACAGTAATATCTCGGTGCCCTGAGGGCAATGGCTCTGTGGTGGAATTAACAAACTCAGTTCCTTCCGTGTTTCAAGATTAATTCTAAAATCAAATTTAATTTAGTCTATATGGAATTAACAAGCAATCTGGAGTGTGTTTTAGGAAGGTATAAGCCATTTGGACTTTGGCTGGAGGAGCCTGAGGAACGGAAAGTCAAATATTAACATTATCCATTTTCTTGGAGTTTAGTGGAGCAAATCAATTACCTAGAGTTAGTGCATTTCCTGTGAGTTGGCCTTTAAAGGTATTGGTGATGAGATACAGAGAAATCCCAGTGACCAGCTACAATTGATTTAAAAGTTTCCAAGAAAAGGGATCTTTGACAGAAATCTTGGAACCTCGTTTTCTAGAGGTGGTGAACAGATCTGAGTGGACTCTCCTAGGTGAGAGATTCTGTCAAACTGCCTACCTAAAATCAATTTGTATTTCACCTACTAAAGCCACATCAGTATTAACCTGTGGAACAAATGAAACATTGATTAGATTAATATTTTTCTCTGAATACTGAACTACAGTCTTGTGGGCACAGAACTTCTGATCCTATTCCCCTGACTGCTGAACTAGTTAGTACATAGCTATCCCTGTTAGGGGGCTTATTCCTTCACCCTCCTACTTCCCTGGTCCTTCTCGCATGAACAGAGAGCAACAATACCCGAAGTCCAAAGGTGCAAACAATTCGATGTTTATTGGGGTGAACTTCCAGCAAGCATGATTCCAGTTTTCTTCCTTAGTGTCCCCCTTCCCAGCTCTGACACCACAGAGCCTTACCTGTGTCCCTGTTCCCATTCCCCCCCCACACTTAGCAAAACATGATTCCAATTTCCCCACCCCCATTCCCTGTTCCCATCCCCCCCCTTACTTCCTGATTGACTGCAGACTATATAGTAAAACTTGAGTTCTGCTTAGCTATACCTTAACCAATCATTTTACTGAAATTTAACTAACCAATCCTAACATATTGTAACATGATTATTTAACCAATTATATCCCACCACCTTAATTAGTTTACACCCAGCAAAATTAATTATACAGCAGACAGAAACAATCACAGAACCAGACAGAGATTATACAGACAAACAATAGGGAAATGGGGACTACAATGATAGAACAATACAGAAATGAGGATTTCACAACTACATCTATAAAGACATAAGGGTTTCCCAGCTGTGTCTATTGATAAGTGAGTTCTTGCCAGACAGGATGCTATCAAACTAAGTTTCCTTTTACATTTTCTAGGCACTTCCCTTTCTCTGGAGGCGATAGGCATTATCAGGACAGGACTGTATTCCTAACAGCCCCATAGCACCTTATTTCAATGTGACTAGTTTGGAATGTGAGGATCTGACCGTTCGCTTCCCAGCTTATGGCTGCCTCTGCTGCTTAGCCAGAGATCTTCACCTAAGAACAGGGCCTCAGACTGTCACAGTAAGAGAAGGCCCTTACACCAGCAGACAGTGATTTTGATTCTTTCTTTTATACCTCTGTAACTAGCTAAGTGATAAAAATACACCTAAATTAGAGTATAGGCCTTTACAGACAGGCCTGAATATCAATATCCTAACAATCCCATTGTGAGATCTTCTTTTAAGTTACTGTCTTTCATTGTGAGGACAATTATTTCAGTCTTCCCTTATGCAAACTACATATAGACAGTTTATTCATGCCGGGGGATGCTGTCAGCTGAGGTCATGGAAGGTAGCATCTTTATGTTATCCTGACTTTTTGGAAATGCTGTATTTGATTTTCAGCAGTGGCTCAAACTGATTCACATTTGCACCTGCAAACATGGCAATCGTGAGATATCAAACTATCCAACTTGCAGATACGCAGACATTTAAATACAAATATTTGCACCTGGAAAAACAGAGGCAAATCCACAGCAACACTGTGTGTGTTTATGCTGTTGTACTAAAAGGAAACAGTTGGTCTGTCCCAGATTGCGGTGCCTTTCAAATCTCAAAGCACTTCACAGAAATATGGACTCATCCCTATTTTATAGATTGGGAAACTGAGGCACAAACCAGTTACAGCAAGTCAATGGCAGAGTCAGTAGCAGAACCGCTATCTCCTGACTCACAGCCCTGTCCCCTTATACAGCACTGCCTCCCATGCAGCATTGCAGCCTTCATCCTGAGAACCGCGTGCCTCCGAAGTGGCTATTAACAGGGAAACCCCTGACTTTTCCCATACCAGCGGAAGGTCAGAAGAAACAGGGCTTAATCCCTGCTTTTTTTTCTTTCTCCCAATTGTTGCTGACAAAGCAGCAGCTCAGGCTTTTAATTATCCTTCATCTCCATCAGGGCCTGAGCCCCTCAGTAAGTTGTTCTCACATCCATGCCACAGAGTTTAGCAGCATTTTGAAAGAGAACGTCTTGCATGGACACAGCTTAGCTTTTCTCTTTAGAAGCAGTACTTGTGGCACCTTAGAGACTAACAAATTTATTAGAGTATGCTCGGGGGTTGCATAACTAGTTAGCATGCCAGAGTCTCGTTCGTGGACGTGGACGTCCTTAGTTGGTGGAGCGATTTGTCTGGTTAATTCCGATAACGAATGAGACTCTGGAATGCTAACTAGTTATGCGACCCCCAAGCATGCTCTAATAAATTTGTTAGTTTCTAAGGTGCCACAAGTCCTCCTTTTCTTTTTAGGGATACAGACTAACACAGCTGCTACTCTGAAACCTGTCTTTAGAAGTAGGAGTTCCTCCTCCTGCTGCTATTCTACATCTGAACAACAGTCTTCAGACCACCCAGCTCTTCAGAGTTTATCTATCCTTGGTCCTTACTGCTTCATCTACTTATGCAGAATGGCTATGTATTTCATGGGGCTTTCGGGAAATCTTCTCTCACTGCAGATCCTGGTGGGCAAGTTGCATTTGCCATATTAGGTGCACCAGCCGCAGGGTGGAGGTTTTTCCAAGTACTGGTAAAATCTCCTCCCTCTGTCCAGTACTGATTGCCATGAGCAAGGCAGCTGATGCCCACTGCGTCAATTGACTGCACACCACACAGTAATGCCAGTGTTATTGACACGGATCGCGTGGATTGTGCTATGGCCTGCAGCATCTTGTTCTTCACTGCCATGCAAGCCTCAAACACAAAAGAGGCTCCAGAGAAGTCTGGTGAAAGGGAGCCATTCCCATAACTTGTATTGGGAAAATTAAGCCATTCTGCCTGGCTTTCAAGAGATCCCCTTGATGGACTGGGGGAACTGAGAAGACGAGGAGAAGTCATTACTTTCTCATAGCCTGCATTTCATATATGGAAGGAAGAATGGAGGGTTATTTCTTCGTCCCAGTTTTCACGCACACGCAGAGCCAGTTCTGTAATTCTGTGCTCAGATTATGTTCTATCTTCACCCAGGCAGAACTCCCACTGAGCCAATGAGGAACAGTTTAAAGTTGTTGGCTCGATCATGTTCACCTTCTGTTAAGCTCTACTTTTATACAGAAAACCCCGGCACCATTCCTATCACTCATGGCAGATTTTTACAATCATGTATTCCTATTTTTAAAAAATGTTTCTCTTTCCTCTCTTGTGTGAAAGATCCATATAGGCAGCAGGGCTGACTAACTCTCTCACTGAATTCAGGAAAACAGTGACAATAATTACAGACTGAACAATAAAGTACTTCTTTCCCCTAGCCTCTTTCAAGTAGGGTCATTTTTTGTGCTAACCTGTAAGAACAGCAGGAAAAACATTTTCAGACAGAATATGATATTTAAGTAGATTTAAAGCTCACAAAAGTAGTGTCCCATTTTTTAAAAAAAGCAATAATTGAAATCTGATGGCTTTTGAATCTCTCACTCCAGGATGCAACCACTTCAAAGCAAAGAGATTAAAATGCAGGAAGCTCTCAGTATATTTACATGATCTGGTTAAAAAGTAGTGGGGATACCAGCATATATGCAGTATACGCATTTTAAAAAAAAAACAGACAACTGATCTTTTGGAAGGAAAAGTTCTGTTTTTAAATGTCAGCTTTATCCACATGAAAGAATACCTCCCAGAAAAAGCACTGAACTTTCTCGTGAGTGACAGTGTGCTCTATTGAAATAGACAGGGGGTTGAGCCGGGACTGCATTTACCTGGACCAAGTTCATCCAGAGGAATCATATCACGACTTCCAGCCTTCTCATTATCTACAAAACAGAAGCATTGAAACTAGTCGTACCATGCTTCCTGACATGAAAACAGAGCAGACTGGGATTAATCACAGGGCTGGAGGCAGTAGAGAAGACAATGATTTATTGCACTCAAGATGCTATAATGAGGACACAAGAGGCTATAATGAAACGATATTAAGGTTCTGATAATTCACGAAGAAAGATTCTGAGTTAGGCCCCCAAAGAGCACACTCAACTGATCTCCCTCATGCCATGGCTCTGAATCACATACATTCCTCTATCCAAAGGATGCCACCAACTCGGTGCCCCTCTGAACCACCTATACTTTCTAGAATTTATCTCTGTACCCATCCAAGATGGGATGAGGTTCCCTTCTTTGCCCAGAGACAAGAGCAATCAATAGGCGATCAAAGGCCTCGAGAGGGTAATTTTAACATTGGTTTCTATTTCCATCATGATCAAAATTAAAAGACTGAGGAAATCAACATGGCCTGGAGCCCTGGAACCATTGGTGTGATTATTGTCAAATCTGACAAACTAAGCACAGTTGGGTCTGGGTCAGAACTTGGATAGAATACCTCCACTGCAAAGCTAAGTGACACAGGAAACAGGGCTGGTGATTCAACAGAGGGTACGTCAAATAAATCAGCATTGAACAAACATCCCAGGGCATTGCTGGAGGTGATGCCCTTTGCATGAGATATAACACCAAGATCTGATGACTTGTGGTTAGTACAAATACCATCGACTTACCACAATAGTTAGCCTGCTCCTTGGCTAAATTCCTGCTGGGTAGTTACTTCATGCCTATCTAAAATACTCCCTATAAGCTCCAACTGAACTTTTCATCTTGAACTGGGTATCATACATTTCATGCAGTGGAAGTGATCATTGTCTATATAGTCTGTAATGTCAATTGCTTCAGGATCTTTGGATGAAAGGCACCATAAAAAAAGTGATAACTGATATTTATCCAATTTGAGAAATACACTTAACAGACATGGCAAATAGCAAAAGGAAAATCATTATGGCCCACACCAATGAGCAGAACTGACCTTGGCTTTTATCCACCAGCGGCAGAGTACTGTCGTCATAGCCAGACTTGCCAGATGTACCTTTGGGTCCCTTTGGTGCTGCAGAGACAGACTAGAAGACAAAATGGAAGAGTAAGGGTACTCAAGGTAGTTAAGTCCAAAGCAGACTGCGAAGAGTTACAAAGGGATCTCACAACACTGGGTGACTAGGAAACAAAATGGCAGATGAAATTCATTGTTGACAAATGCAAAGTAATGCACATTGGAAAACATAATCCCAACAATACATACAAAAGGAAGGGGGTCTACATTAGTAGTTACCACTCAAGAAAGATCTTATAGTCATTGTAGATAGTTCTCTGAAAACATCCACTCAATGTACAACGGCAGTCAAAAAAGTTAACAATGCTAGGAACCGTTAGGAAAGGGATAGCTAAGATGACAGAAAATATAATGCTACTAATAAATAAATGGTATGCCCACACCTTGAACACTGTGCATAGTTCTGATCATCCCATCTCAAAAGAGATGTAATAGAACTGGAAAAGGTACAGAGAAGGGCAACAAAAATGATGAAAGGTATGAAACAGCTTCCATATGAGGAGAAATGAACAAGACTGACTATTCAGCTTTGAAAAGAAATGACTAAGGGGGGATATGATACAGGTCTATAAAATCATGACTGGTGTGGAGAAAGTGACTAAAGAAGTGTTATTTACCCCTTCACATAACACAAGAACCAGGGGTCAACCAATGAAATGAACAGACAGCAGGTTTAAATACAAACAAAAGGAGGTACTACTTCACATAACGCATAGTCAACCTGTGGAACTCATTGCCAGGAGATGTTGTGAAGACCAAAACCATAACTGGGTTCAAAAAAATAATTAGATACATTCATGGAGGATAGGTACATCAATGGCTACTAGCCAAGACAGTCAGGGATGCAACCCCGAGCTCTGGGTGTCCCTAGGGATCTGATTTCCAGATGCTGGGACTGGACGACAGGGGATGAATCACTTGATAATTGCCCTGTTCTGTTCATTCCCTTTGAAGCACCTGGCATTGGCCACTGTCGGAAGACAGGATACTGGGCTAGATGGACCATTGATATGACCCAGTGTAGCCGTTCTTATGTTCTGAGAAGCCGCTGCAAACAGAGTAAGAAATAAAACGAATTTTCTAAAAAAGTTATAACTTGAACAAAATGTATGGAAACCTGTTCACACTCCATCCCCTCTTGATAAACTGATCTTGGCCTGGAATCTAATTTGTGATTCTGGATACTTTTCATTTCACTGAAGTTTTGCTGACGATTCCTCCTTCTGTCATCACCTGGTTGGGCAAGCCAGTAGCTTCTTTACAGGCCACAGTGAAAGCCAGTTACTTTTCAGATAAAGAAAGTAGCAGCAGCTTCACATAAAAAACAGTCAGATGCCCAACACGCTACATGGACTATGTCCCAAGGGAGCAGCAACATACAAAAATGGGCCAAGTCTTTCCTTGATGCAATGTATATTTGTAGGGATTAGACTTGGTACATCTAAAGTGGAATAACCCCTAAAATGTGGAAGGCACATGCCACAGATCTTCTAGATATGCACCCAGTAACTGTATTTATGATAAAACAATTATAGTAAAATTATGGTATCACTGGAAAACACCAACTTAGAGTTCTTGGTCTACCTGCCATTGTCATTAGTGGGAGTAGGGCCTCAACATGGAGTGAAGGATAAAACACCTTCATGGGGCTTTCTGTGACCACTGATCTGGACTAGGACTCTGCATCTTTACCTGGAAATGGGATTTGTTCCATCCATCCTTCTGTAGGACACTTCGTAGCTCTTTGTAGCTCCAGACCATCTGAAGAACATGAGATGCTGCCTTTGTTTCCCTGGGGGACTGGCTAATTTGTGAGACAAAATTAGAGCCTCAAACATTAGGAATGCAAACTCATTTACGCTAAAACCCATAACTTCCTAGCAGGTCTGTTATTTCCCAAGAAGCAATGCAATATGTGACACTGTAAAAATACATTCTTTGGGCCCAATTCTATAGTGGCTTCTATTAATGTGGGTCCATCTACCTGCATGTGTAAACATACAGTTGCTCAGACAAGAGACATCTGCATAAGCAAGAGGTAGTTAAATATGCAGATGTCTGATTTTCATATGCATAGTGTGCAGGTACAGAGGCCAGTTGGATAACATTGTCCTTTTGCCTAGTGGATTTCAACAGGCATTTATATAGATCAAAGCAGAAGTGCTGAGCACCCAAAACTGCCAAAGAAATCAATACTCAATCACTTCTGGAAAACAAGAACTTAATGTCTAAAGTTGGGAATCCAGAGGCCACTTTTCAAAATTTTGGTCCGAGTATATATAAAAAACTGAATTTAGCTGAAATCAACCAGTGGTTTGAAACACACCCCACAGGACAATGAGGATCAAACAACAAACAAAACTAATTCTCACCTGAAAAGCATTTTCCTTTCATTCCTTGCCAAGTCAGTATCAGTCTGCTATACAGAGCCACATGTGGCTCAATTTCTGGCTTACTCTTACTTAGGGCTTGTCTACATGGTGCTTTTGTCTGCACCGAGGGGTGCAAATTTTAGTTTGCATTAGCAGGTTGTGCACTAACTGGGCTGCGGGGACTGTGCTGCTGCACACAAAGTTCCCGACTGTGACAACACCACCAACAGTAGGGCACTTTTAGTGCATGCCGGCGCAGTCCACACGGGCCAGTTAGTGAGTGACACACTAGCACAAATTCAAATTTATACCCCTCTGATGTGGACTAAAGCACTATGTAGACAAGGCCTTACTGATGAAAAGGCAAAGGCTAAAGAAATCTCCAGCCAGCCTCTCAACAGTTTGTTGAAAAGGCACTTATGAATGAGCTCATTTCTAATTGGCTGAAGTACAGAAGGAAGCCCTTCTCCAATCAGGATACAGCTTTTCAACAGGGCTACATGGTACAAATCGTCATTTCAATTATTACTGTTGTCCTTCAGAAAGAATGATCACTGCAGATCATTAACCATTTCTTTTAACAGAAATAAAGTTGCATCATTGACATTTCAGGAATGGAATGTCACAGGATAAAGGTCTCCTGCTTTGCAAACACAGGTCTCAGCTTCACTGCAAATGATGTCTGATAAATGCATGCATAATGCTAAGGCATAAATAAAACAAAGAGAGATTGTACCCTGAAATGACAGAACTTTTTATCTTACTGATTTTATCACCCAACCCAACCCAACCCGACCTGACCCGGGTGGGAGGGAAGGGATAGCTCAGTGGTTTAAGCATTGGCCTGCTAAACCCAGGATTGTGAGTTCAATCCTTGAGGGGGCCATTTAGGGATCTGGGGCAAAAATTGGGGACTGGTCCTGCTTTGAGCAGGGGGTTGGACTAGATGACCTCCTGAGGTCCCTTCCAACCCTGATATTCTATGAACCCATTAAAGTCACTGATGTAGGATTTGTTTTTATTACATGTTTTAAGTGCTTCAGTTACACATCTGAAAGGTCAAGATGTCTGGGCACCATCACAAAGCATCACAGTGGGGTTCGTACAGTATCCTCTTTACTTTGTTTTCTATTCTAGTAAGAAACCTACCTTGACTTGCTGATAGCTACCAGCTTCTGAATGCCCTGTGTCTGGATCAGGGACCTTGCATTTTCTGAACTGTCAGTAATGATTTCATGGATGGTATTCAAGACTGCAACCACTGTATCCTCTTCCAGGTTTTTAGCGGATCTCTGCTGTCTGCTAGGCAAATTTCTTACCAGTTCACCCATGGCATAACTACCTAGATAAGGGGAAGAGCTACCATTAGCCAGACCCAATAATCATTTCAAGAAACAGCTTCCTGTCCTGAAAGCTAAAATATAAGGAAGTTCCCAAAGTCTAAAGATTTTCTAATGTAATTTCCTTGAATCTCAAGGCTATTTCATACTGCATTTATCATTAACTTTCTCAAGATGTTTGAGAACTGATATCTAAAGCAAACTCATTCTGCATAATCAATACTACAGGTATCAGAGGCAAAAAAGTTTGACACATTTATTGAGAATTTCACAGCCAATACATCACACTTTGCTGTGCCTGAGGCAAACAAGCATTCATAAACTGAGGCTAACGTATTAATGCTAATGCATGCACACAACACTTACTCAGTGTAGCCTTGTAAGAGGTCTGCAGGGGCAAGGTATGCAACAGTGCATATATTAACCTTCCCCTGAAAGGTAAGAACGTCCATTTGGCCTTCATGCTATGCAGCACTGAAGTAAAGCCTCGGTGTCCTGGGCCCATTACTCTCAGATGTGTGTTTGTACCATTTGGTAGCTACAGCTCTACACTGGACGTGGTTTTTATGAAACGTAGGCGTATTAAAGTAGAATTGGAGATTTGTATTGATTAAGCATCAGCATCTGTGCTCTGTATGCAGCACAAACATTTTCTTGCTTGGTGAGGTTACAGTTTAAACAGATCGGGAAAATTGCCCAGGAAATATACTGGGAGACCCACACAAAGGCTTTAATTTGGAGCTCAGCTTCTGCCACTTCCATTTAATGAGTAGTGAGTGCATTTTTGCTAATGTGGATTAGAGTTGGGGAGCATTGCAGAGAAGCTGAGTTTTAAGGGTGATGATCTGAATGGAGAGCACTTGGGTACCGGGCTTCTCGATACAGGGGATAGCACAGGAGAAGGCAAAAGGCTGGAAGTGGGAGAGGTGAGGCAGGGTTCATTGACAGAGCAAAGGGGGCCAGAGGGGGAATCATATCAAATCAAAAAGCCTTTATATTTTTGCAAATTATTTTGAGATCTACTGCAAAGTAAAGATTCATTTCCATTAAATCACACTATGTGCATGTATGGAAACTGGATGGGCTGAAACTTAATTTTCAAATGGCAATTCTTCACTTGGGGCATGCACAAGACTCCTATATAACGCAAATGGAATTTGTATGCAGAATAAACCTCAGCTTCAATACTTGACGAAAGCCTAAACAATTTTACAGTGCCCATGTGTTTATGGGGTCACATTCCTGTAAGAGAAGCTCAGAAGGTACCTATGAGATCCTTATTGCGACGATCCATAGAGAGATTCCTCAGGGCAATTGACACAGCTCTCACAACCTTGTCAGAGTCAGACTGGAGAAGCTCAACGAGGACTGGTAAGCCTCTCTCCTTTCGCACTGTTGCACGGATGTACGTGGACCACTGTGAGCACACAGGAAGAAAAGCAACACACAACATTGTGAATTTAGAGACACATTTTCCTGCATTTCTTTCAGTGTTGGGGTCTGATTTTTTCCAGCATGAAATTGAAGAATTTTCCCTTATGCAAACAGTACTTCCTTATACTCTGCATGGCAACATATCTGTGACTTATCCCACCATCCAAGTCTATTGTGCACCAAGCACGAAAAGGAGGTAGATAGTATTTCATCTTATAGCTGGCAGGGGGCTGGGGAAGAAATATCATCTGTTCTATAAAATTTAAGAGCAGCAGAGGAAGAGTATAGGCTACTATATATGCCTCAATGGAAAATTTATTCCTCTCCATCAGAAAAGAGGTCACTTAGAGGGAAGAGCAAGACATGTACAGCTCCTGTTATCTTTTAAAAAAATTACTTGTTTCTATTGTTTCATGCATGTTTGTAAATACTTGTATTTTAAAAAGCGTCTTCCTGTTCAAATTAGAGTGGGGAAAAGCACCTTACTCTTCGCAGACTTGTAGTTGCTGTGGATGACCTCACTTTGTCATGTCCAGAGACATTCCAGTATTCTTTGCTAAGAGTGGACTGATCACTGTAGAGGGACGGGGGGTTTACGGGAAGGCTTTGGTGGCAATTTTGAGATGCGACTCCCAGTGTTATCTGATGAATCAGGACAATACCCAATCCTGGGGTAAATATGGTTACCCAGCTCTAAAAACAAGCACTGCTGAAGAAACCCACAAATGAAAGCAGCAGTAGATAAGTGGTCTAAAAAGTAACACTTGCTCATTTTAAGATTTGCATTCCCTTTAACCGCAATGACAACACTCCAGCCATACAAAATTCTATTTGCCTGGGGCAAGTGAATAGTTGTTTATTCCCCAGAGCATCAGTTTTTATCTGTTACCATCAATCAGCATGGTAAAGAAGGAGAGGAGATTTTGTGCCTGGCCTAGTAAATTCTCATGACAATTTTGCAAGTTGCCAATATTCACAAACACTGTTTGCGAATTCCAAACAGAACTTCCAGGCATCTAGCTTATCTGACAACAGGAAAGATGAGAAATGTCAGAACAACTGGAGAATCAACAGAATTAAGCAATTCTACTTCTGTTTTGTCAGTGTCTGTCTTATCTCCAACATTGCTTGAGTGACATTAGAAAGATGCCAGTTTGGCTTTTTGGAGTTCATGCCTCCCTGTTTACAGGTGAAAACAGAAGGTGAAATTTTCAAAAATGTCTAAGTGACTTACCACCTAAGTCTCACTGAAATTCAAAAATCATTAGGCACTTGACAACTCTACCCAGATACCACAAAGGGGAGATTCTAGTCTGTCTGAAGGAGACAGAGTTTGTTCTTTAACTTTAGACTAGCATTGCTTGTTAACCTTCGGGATCACGTCTCTGATGAATATTTCAGCAGAAGTATACATGGAAGTCTATTTTATTTTTAAAATACTTCTGTGTAACACTGAAACCTTTTCTAAAAGCTAATAATTTAGACTTTGTTCAAACCAAAAGCTAAAACTCTTCCAAAAGAGATTCACAAAAGAAAAGTAACAGAGTGCAATTTGCCAGCTATCAAGTGACGTCAGACCTAGAGGGCTTAAAGGGAATTTCTATGTACCAATTTCTGACTAGGATTAAGCAAAAGAAAAGGCTAGACTCACTGTCCAGTTTCCAGCACTGAGATTCTGCAAAGCACCTGCTGCAGCTTCCAAAGTGTTGAAGTTCTGGCTTTCAGTGAGGATCGAGAGGTAGAGCCGGACCACCTCTGGCTGGTAGAGCAGTTCAAAGCCTGAAGGGGGAAAAACAGGAGAGGCAACATATGGATCAATATTTGACACGTCTTTATTTCAAGATGTATGAGAAACATGTCAGAACACACTACACTGGCAGAGTAAGGATAAGGATTTCAGTTAAACCCAGCTTATTCTATTCCCACCTGCTGAAAGTGGCGCATGCTGGAACTCAGTAGGACATATTAACTCTGCAATTTTGAGAGCCCCTGCACACAAATTCACTCTGCTCATTTTCAGGAAGGAGATCCCACCTCACCACTGAACATTTAGAAGTCTTTGTGTTATTCTGATTCCATGTATTTAATCACACTGAGCATGTGTATGCACAGCCGGGGGACATGAGGTTGGGTCTGTTTGCACAAATTCAGACCTGCATTGCTAAGCTGGGTGTGAATTCAATTTGCACTGCTTTGTACACTCAATTTCAGTCACTTTCTAGGCATGATTAATAATGCCCAAAGTCGGAGTGTACAGCATGATCATACCATATACCCCTCTCCCATGCCTGCCTGCTGAAAGGTGGCCATGGAAAGTTGGATTGATGAGAATCATCAACTGGAAAGTGGGAGAGAAATACAACTGAATAATTTTGGTTCAATTATGATATGAAGAGATATACAAGCATTGTATTAAATCTAGAGGCTGTGGTAGATGGAACACTCTTTAAAAGAATATTCCCAGAGTTAGTACATCAGTTTGCTAGGTAAGGCACAGGACTTAAAGATTTGGAATCAGTTAAAAAGATTTGGAATCTATTTCCAGTTCTGCCACAGACTTCCCAAGTGATCTTGGGCAAGTTATTGATAGTAACTTCAGTGTCTTCATTTATACAGTTATTATGATACATGGTGTGTACTACTGTAGCGCCTAGGAGCCCTAATCATGGACCTGCACCCCCCGGTGCTAGGTGCTGTACAACATGGATGATGTTTATTTACTTTAGAGTGGTTTTGTCATGCTAATTACATGAACTGATGTTTGTATAAGCACCCATTGAAATCTGAGGATCACAGGTGTTTTTTGTCTATGGTAGTATTGTTAAGAGTATGTTTCACTATAGTGACAGGCTTTTATGTAGCACATCCATATTACATTATTGCTTATTTATGAGTCAGGAATAGGCAGTCATGTAGTTTGAGGCTGTTTCTCTTCTCCATCTCCCAAGATCTAGTCATCAAGTGGGGATGATACATTACATTAATGACAGGAGATTATGCAAGTAACCAGTACAAAGGACTTGCCAACCCAATGCAATGTCAATGGAGAGTGACACTGTACATGGAATATACATCAGAGAAAAAAAATCCATGCCCCGAAGTGCTTTGGTAAGCATGGGGATGATACAATACACTAAAGAGGGGGTCTACTGGAGTAAACATGGAAAGGAAGATGTTCTGTGTAAAGCTTTCCAACTACACTGACTAGGTTGCTTTTCAAGAGTTTACCACAAGGGCGGGTTGGGACACATTCATGGTGTTATGAACAACATGAGAGGTAGCACAAAGGTGCAGAACAGACAAAGGGATAATTAAGTCTTGGCATAAACATGCTGAATCTATTTAGATTCATACAAATGCTAGAAAGGGCACTGTTTCCATGTAACAAATATAGCACCAGCACAATTCTCCACCAGCAAGCCAGGAAATAATCCCCCACCCTTAAATTTTACCTCCTCTCCCCACCCCTACTCCACAAAAGTGCCAGGGAAAGAAGAATGAGATTTGGACTATTGCAGACCAAGCAGATCCCAAAGCCAGTGGGACCCAAATGGTTGACAGGGAAGGGTGAAGTGTGTTCCTTTTGTACCTCCACTATGTTCTTTACCGGTTGCTTACAGTTTTTTCATTTGCTTCTAGTGAATCTACTCAAGTTAACAGCTGATCAGATTGAGTGTGTATCCCAATCAGCAATGAGGAGCTAAATTTCAACATTTTTTTTTTATTTCCTTCAGTGGCAGCCCGAGAAGCCGCCTTTGCCCCATACTGATAGCAAGGTCTAGACATTAGGCTCCATGCTTTAATAAAAAGCTTGGATGTGCTTTTATTTTTTATTTTACATTTTTGAGCATTTCACTTGCACCCCAGGCTGCTCTGACATTGTTTTAAACCACTGAAGGATTCACCTGTTCTTTGTCTGAAACTAGGTTTGAAGCAACCAGTGACCATTATTTGTTCCACGGACAAGTGTGTACCTGCCCGGGGGGCAAGCCCTGATTCCAGCATCATTCTTGTCTCAAATAAGTCCCTTGCTTCCTGGTCCCAAGTTCTCCCATTTCTGCGACATCATTCCCTTTTTTATTGGAGGCTAAGCAAAAAATAGCTATTTAAAATATTAGGCATTTTGGAGTTCTCTTTCAACTATTCCCCTGGTCACTAATAGCTTTTTGTATTTTCCCCTAGTATTTCTCTCGGTGTATTTATAGAACTCTTTCTTCTCTCCTTTGACTGCCCTAGACAGGAATATTTCTTTTTAGCTTCCCTTATTTTATTCTTGCATGCCTTATATCTATTTCCTCCAATCGCTACAATTACCCACTTCCCAAAGACGATCATCCTTTTTCATATTCCAGGTCTTTTACTACCTTCTTTTCAACCACTTTTTTTTTAAAAAAATCTTCCTTGTATTTTTAAATTCTATTGGTCTTGTTGGTCTTTCATCTCTTATACTGCATAAATTCTTACCTCTTTTTTCTCTATATACATTATACTTCGTACCACAGCTGATTTTACACTGCTCACTAAATGTCATTTCAATCCTTTCAGAGAGGTAATGTCCTAACAGGATGCAGTATCACTGAATGGCTAGAGCAGGAGGCTGGGAAAGCCAGGATTTGTCAAGAATAGAACCACTAACACTGAATGACTAACCTTATGCAAGTCACTCAACCATTCTGTGCCTTTGTTTCCCCAATTATAAAAGAGGAAAACACTCAGCTCATGGGAGCGTTGTGAGGTTAACTAACTGGTGTGTGGATACAATCTGCTATAGCAGGGAAAAGAACTTCATTGCTATTGTGACTTTCTAGAATTCATTTGCACCACAAATTCACTAAATTTGTGACCACTCCACCCTCAATTCCCCACTGCCCTTGTGCCAGACCTTGTATTGCTGCTTCCACGTTTGAAATAGGGAACTCTCTGACATCAAGTAAAAATATTCTTTGACAATATGTGGATTGTATCCTTTTTTCCATTAGCTTATCTCCGGAATTAAACTCTCTTACTGATCATTTATTGGAATTTTGACACCTTCGATAATCTTTTTATGGAAATTTTAACTTTAAACATAAATCAGACAAGCCAGAAGGATAAAGATAGTGTTACAACACAAAAAACATTATTGTAAGAGGGATATCAGGTCTGTATAGGAGCTCATAGTGGTCTGTGGTTAAATAGTTGGCAATTCTTCAGTCAGTGTCCACTTAAGAACACTGCTTTAGATGCAGTCATAACTTTGACATTTTTGGAAACAATTCCAGGAGAGGTTCATCTTCCCCTGCTCTCTAGTTACATAGCTTATAATTTATCCTCATCATCAATGCCAGGTTTTGTATCCTTTATCTGAACACAGACACTTTCATCTTCCTCATCTCTTCACATTAGTGATTATTATATTATTGATACATGGTATTATTGATACACGGTAACCACATCACCTCCATTTCCCCCCTCCACATCCTACCTACTGCAGACAGAACCTGCCTTTAGATATTTGCATTCCACTCACGTGTGTCCCACCATGCCTCTGTCATTACTGGTCCTCATGCATGAGAGCCTCCTGTTTTTCCTGCTTGTTTCCCTGTATTTCCAGCATGAGTGTAGGAGCATCCCTCCCCCGCCTTTTTTTTCTGTCTAATTTTCTGCACTTCCTTTATTAATTACCAATACATTTCTGCTCGGGGTGCAATGACTTACAGACAATTTGGTGAATGACTCCCCCCCCCCCCAATTAACCCCCTCCCCTCATATTTTTATTCTCCTGCCCGTTACTGCTTATTCTAAGGCCCTCCCATACCAGCTTGGCTAGCCTTGTAGGATGAGGGGGATTGCTGAAACAGGACTAGTATGAGTGCCCTTCGTGAGTTGATGCACATTAGCAAAGATGAGAGCCTTGTATTGCTAATGCCACCACTCTGCCTGAAGGATTTTCCTCAACCTCACTCTTTTCTTAAACATTATTTTCACTTGAAAAAAACTTTTCTATTTTCTCCAGTTTTTGTCCCTCAGAAGCCAGTTCTGCTACTCAGAGGATAGATTTTGTCTGAATTATTGTAATTTCCTTCCAGTGCTGTGTGGAGGCCTCACACATTTTTTCCCCTGAAGTATTTTTGCAGAGTCCCGAGAAGCACAGCTGGTCTCACCTCCATTAAGCACCTGCTTCTCTTCTAAACCGATTTCCTGAATTTCAAGATTATCTTAATTATTTTTCCAGGTACTTGTGTAATATATGGATAATTGCCTATATCCATTTTAAAAATGGAGCTAAAAAAGAAGAGGATCATTAAAGCTGGTAATGAGTCAACAAGAAAAAAATGTCAATTGCTTTTCTTTTGCTTCTTTAAAAGGTCATTTGAATTATGGCCCCAATTCAGCAAGCGCTGAAGCATATATTTAAATCCCACTGAAGTAAACAGATTTATGCATGTGCTTAAGAGCTGTGTTGAACCAGAACTTAGATAGCTTTTTCCTGGAAAAGCATGAGTTAAATTTATCTATACCCTTTTCATTGCCAAAACCAAGGTACAGAAGTCAGTTAACTGGCTGTTAAGTTGTTTTTTTTTTTGGCGTTTTAAGGAGGTAGGAGAAACGTCAGGTGACATGGCCATTGTGGTCCTCAAGCATTCATATCGAGTATAGAGGCGCCCCAGGCAGTTACTGGGATTGTATGGAAACAGCTACTAAGGAATTATATTCCTTTCCCTCCTTAAAACATTTCTATTCTCCAGGCTTGTGTCCCCCTTTTCAGGGGAGTCTGAGGTTCTCTTGTGCCAGCCCCT